ACACAGCTATTCGCATAGCTAAAGCTGCAATTTCTTTCCAGTGCCCAGAATAAGAACAAAAAGTGTGCACCCTACTCAAATCGACTAATCTAAATTTGCTATTCATACGCTGTTTTTATCTCTGGGAAAACGAAGGGATGTCAAGAGTCTGCTAACTTTTTTCTATGTATCCCCAACTGAATTCATTCCAAATTTATGAGTTAGAGCTGCCTGCGACTCTCTGCGTTCTGAGTCGTCTTGAATGGCTAGCGATTTTTCATAGCATAGAAAGGAAAATTGGCTTTCTCTGTACCGACGCAATCAATCCCTGCTCTCGAATAAGAATCATGAGTTTACTCGTGCCCAACGAAGCCATGACTGAATGCCTACTGGGCCCCATTTGAGCATTAGAGGTACGTCCATTTCCGAATGAGGTTGGTGAGATTTTGACGTTATATAATAACGGGGCCCCTAACTAAGTGACCACCCAAGTCCGACTGCAAAAGATGAATTCCGAAGAGAGAAAACGCTGCAGGTAGAATCGGCTTGGTGGCCCCACCCATCACCGTGGATGTCCGAAGATAAAAAGCCCAAAGTTGGACTTCAATGTATCTAGAGTTGTCATAAATACGTCATTCATTATGATTATCAGGTTTTCTACACTGCCATCTATTCTGAAGCCCGCTTCCGAGCTCGTCATTTTTAGACCACCCACGTTGGTGGGCGGGGCCACCTGAGCCGCTTCTACCTTCTGGAGCGATTTTCTCGCTTCGGTATACATCTTTTGCAGCAGGAGCTGGGCGATTACCTTCTTAGGGGTCCTACTATCACATAGCTTCAAAATCTCAGAATTCTCAATTCGGGTGGACAGTGCCTTTAATCCCTAGAAAAACGCAAATTCGATGTTGTATAAGCACTCTGTGACGCATTTTTTTCCGCCCGGGAACAGTTGCTCAGTTGGCGGTGAGTTCAGCGAATTTACAACAAGCACACACACATACACATACGCGCTCTAGTTCAGCTCTCAACTCTAGGCACTGAACTGACTCATCAAGCATGCAAATCGTCAGCTTCCGCGAATCCCTTGCTCATCGCGATTTTCGACGCGCAAATCGCTGCGATAGGAGGGCAAAAACGTGACTTCGTGATGTGCTCAAATTGCCGAACACACCTCCTAATCTGATAGAGATCGTCGTCGTCGGCGAGCTCAGGCAAAACATTTTGCACTTAAGGACATAGGGCGAGCAATTATTCTCGTTCGCGGATATGCCCTTCTCTATGGCGTTCATGTCACTCAACCGATGGACGATGCTATCATGGATATATACGCTCTATATGCACTTGACTTTGAATGGATGAAGGATAGGAAGCCATAAAACCCTGGTCCGAAAAACGAAAGTTGCGTGCGTTCTATGAAAACATTGTTTTTGACGAGTTTGCCCTTGAAAAGTGGAAACTAAGATGTGTACTATGATATTAAGAGCAAGGAACTAATCCCAAGGAAGTTCGGGATCAAACCTTGCAAAAAAATCGTTTGAGAAAAAAAACAAGGGCAAGATTGAAGTACAAATAATCCGGTGAACTTTGAAAAAAGTCGTTTCCATCGCTGTTCCCTTTGAGTAATTCTTGGTCTCAAATTCAATTTATAACTGAATGCACTTCCAAAATAATCTATTTGTAACAAAAATGTAACCGACTATAGTACAATCTTTCTGCATCAGCTAAATCACTGCTCTAAAAATACTTCGATAATCAAAAATTCATAGAAAATTTTATCACTACAGTAACAATTACGTATGTCACTTTTTTAGCTTTACAGCTGCTCCTTAATTACGTGAATTGTGACAGGTGTTCCAAGAGCTTACGTAAATCATTCCTATACGATTGTGATGTCAGAATTAAAATTTTCCAGAAAATACTCCATCAAATTGCTTAATGATTTCTTCGCTTCCAACTTTCTCACGATTCAGAAAAAGACCTTTGAAACGCGTGAAATTTCATCTTCTTTTTAAGGCATGGGACCCACGAGATAAACCAACTTTACTGTTTAATCTTTTGTTTGTTTTTTTTTTGAAAACAGAATACTTTGTCAACTAACGAATCTTCACAAAATGTATCCCGTTAACAACTGCTCACTTCATCCATCACACACTTTTTTCAACCGACAACCACATATCTCTTAGCGATTCCGGAAACAGGAAATTCATTTCCGGACATCAGAGCAGCTGCATAGCTAAGAGATATCGTTATCTGATGCTCAGCACACCCTAAGAGCTGCTTCATGATCAGCAGCAGAAAGCGCATCACATTTTCGGAGCCTAGGGCTAAGCCCTCACTCTTTTGTTTTCCAAATGGGAAGCCTTGGCTCTTCAACGACTTATGCGCATGTGTGCGACTGAACTTTTGCGAACTCGAAATTAGCAGAAAACGCTGTCAATACGGCTAATCCAATGCGGCTGGCAGACAAGGGGTAAAAACATAGCACAAAAAGTACTGAAAACATCCAAGATGAGGGCATGTGCCCTGCAGAGAGATTCACAATTTTACGGAAGAAAAAGCCCATAAAACTGCTAAAGAGGCGGTAAATCAGAAGTTCACAAAAATAACTTTTTCCAAGAATAGGACTACCCTAATGTTGTCAAAAACGAATTTCCTCAATTAGATCTTATACAACTCTTATCCCTCAGTACATTTACCCTTTACTATGATATCACCATGTGTTCTTTGCAATTTTGAACCGGAAATGTGACATATGTGCGGTTCCGAGAAACACCGAAGTACTCAGGCGAAAGACATTTTGTTCTCAATCAAAAATCAACGTTCAAGACGTAAGAGACAAAATTAGGGGTTCTTTAGAGAAAGTTGGCAGAAGCGTAAAGCAGAAAATTGTTCAGAACCAAAACAAGTAATTAGCAATTACAGAGATCATAAAAGGGTAAAGCAGGCTACAAAAATTGCAAGAATAAAAGACAAATATTTCGAGAGAAATTACTTCAGATACAAAAAGCTCTTTTTTCTCTCGAGGAACTTTCTGGAGAATGAAACTAAGAAGTAGTTTTCACTTACCATTACTTGAACGAACCGCATTGAAGAAGTAAGTCAGAACAGGACTACTATCACTTGATGAATGTATGGCACGCAAAGCCGAAACTTGCGTTTTTAAAGGGCGATGAATTAGAAAAATATCCTTTTCAAAGTTCATGAATAATGCAAGCGTAAGTTGGTCGAGGGGTGCAATCTCAGTGGCACTGATTTTGCTGTATAAAAACATAAATAAGATTTTGTGCGCAAGAATTCAACTACAGCTACAAAGACTACGAAGTACGTGAAAGTAAGAAAAAATATATATAACTAAAAAGTAAGTTGCAAATGTGAGGAATAGGTCATTCAGATCATGAAGACATTTTCTTGAAGGGAATAAACAAGTGAGGTAAGAAAGTAAAGCTTTTCTTAGAGAGTATAATTAGATCAGATATTACGTCTTTAACCAATTACGAGAACGGATATAAAGTCACACATAGGACTACCAATGCCCTCACTGAGAAAACTAACTATGAATTTATCAGCACTCTCATGTTTTCTTCAACAAAAGTGCTAGACTATTCCAAAACTCCTCCCGCACTTTCACAGGTCGTCGACTAGTACAGCGCCTATTCACGCAACATTCTATACTAGCCTTATTAGCCCTTCGATTTTCTAGTTTTTTCCCGCTCAACAACATCCCTTCGAGAAACCCCTCAAGTCTTCTATACGAAGGTATACATGCGGAAAACTCTACTAATACATAGAAAACAAACTAAATGTCATGATTACTGATACAAGGCTTCACGATACAATATTCGAGTCTAGCCAAATTTGTTGGTTTCACGCTGCTTTTCGCATCCATACTATAAAGCCAATCAACTGTGAATTAATTCGTCGCATCGTGAGAAAAATAGCAACGTCACAGTGTGGAGATGCGACGAGGGGAAGTGAAAAATTCGTAGAAAGCAATTAATTCTGCAGTTAAAGCCCGGCTGCATGAGCCGTTTGCCAAGAACTAAAAGGAGATCTCCCAATTAAGAGATGAATGAGCTGTGTAGTGCTAGCGACTGCTCATGCATTATTCATGAATCCTTATAAGCAGCGGAAAAGACTCGACAAAGACGTATGAGGAAGCACCCAGTGCCAAAAATCTCCCACTAAATCCCCGTGAAATCTGCCAGTGAAGCTGATGATCTCAAGCTTAGTGGAGATCTTTGACGGATGCGATGAGATTGAGGTTTTATATCAACAGTAAAAACAACACCAAAAAAGGAATTATTAAACGAAAACTAAAAATGACTTCTGGAAAACTGCGGCAGCCAAAATTCTCCAAGTTTTTGAAGAAACAGTTTACGCAAGTTGAATTTCGGAAATTGCGCTTTTGAATATAATTCTCGAGGAAATTAGATCCAGGGAATGGGAAACATGCGGCCGATACGACAATACTGTGAGAAATTCATGGAAGAAACACACCAATTAGGACACTAGAGGTCCCGACCAGTAAAAGTTCAGCAATACTGATATAGAAAATTGGATGCTGTACGAGATTGAAACCTAATTCTATACTAACTAAACAAATGTTTTTCTATCATTTGAAGAAAACTTAAAAAGTGTGAGAAGCATTTAAGGCTTCCATAATTATAGAGGACAAACGAAGCACTAAAATCGTGCAGAATTTGCTAATGGCAAAAATAGAAAAAGTCAGCAAAAGTTTACAATTCCGATCAGAACTGTGTAATAAAAGTAAACCGAAACACTATTGACATAAGTGTCAATTCTACGAATCTTACGCAATGTTTACAGTAACCCCTTGTACTACTCTGATCCCCCACACAACCCAATTCTTTCCCTCTGCAACGCCGAAAACCCTCGAAAGATTTGTGCTAGAGCAGATACGAGAAAGAGTGTAACAGTTGCCCGCTTGCGAGAGATCATCACTTTTTCACTCTCTATCTCGTCTTTCTCTCTCCCTATCACTCGAAACCACCGCATTCTTCTCATGAACACAGCGGTGGAGGAGTAGTGCCTACCTGTTCGATGGATGGTGAGAGCGATGACGACTGCGATCGAGTGCCATCGGGGGTGTCATGGTCAAGCGACGTGAAATCGCCGAATCGCTGAATCACAGGCGATTCGGGCGCTTCTTCAACGTCGGCATCGACCTCAACCGGAAGTTCGGGGATGGGTTCTGGGGTTGGAATTGGCGATGGAGAAGTGTGATTAGAGCTTGGGATTGACGAGTCCGCTGTCGTTGGTGGTCGGGGCAGTATCCGACCTGAGGATCTCCGCTCCATATTAGCAGATGGACATCTGAATTCTGCTGGGATTGGGGATATGTTAAGTGGGGAAAATGGCGGAGGAGTGGGTAACATTCTCGGACTGCTCGCTCTCCTGATCGGGGAGACCGGAGTCGGTGGTAGTTGCCGTCGTCGACATACAGGTTCCAACAGCGTCGGGTACGTGGACATTGCCGAGCTGCGTCGTTGATGCATGGAATTCACTCGTCCTCCTATGGACATGGGCGGGGCCCCGGCTTCTCCCCGCGAGAGCGCAGAGGGGCCAGCGTGCGCGACGTTCCCCGCCAGAGACGCAGCGTTCAGCCGCGACGCCGCGGGAGTGGGCGCGACGGCGTGGCGACGCCGCCGACGCGGCGGCGGCGGATCGTGAGTGCGGGGGGAGGAAAACGGCAGCGACGATGCGAGAGCAGAGATATTTCGGGATCCGAGCTTTACAGCGGGTACGGCCGTGAATCTTGTGCCTCAGTAGCCCCGGCCAGCCACAGCCACAGCCACAGCCAGCCTGCCTGTCAGCCAACGAGCGCAGTCGTCGGACGTGTCGGGTGTATAGAGCGCGTGCTAGCCCAATTCAACTACACAAATCCCCGTTGGATTTACTCCATATCTGACTTACTTGTACTCAACTACAACCGAACATGTCAGCCAATCTGTACAGATCGCCATCGCAGGCCGCTGTTTACAAGTCACCATCAATGAGCGCTTTTGGCGCACCTTTTGGCAGCATGTCTGTCGCCGATCTTGGCTCCCTTACTCGTCTTGAGGTGCATAATTTTTATATTTCCATATAAGGGTTTCTATCCAATTTTTCCATAAAGTATACACAATTTGACATTTATATTACTTGCAAATTAGCTGCATTTTCCGCCTATACGAACCTTACAAAAATTGTCTAGACTTTTGCATTTATGGCTTCAAAAGTATGCAGTTTGAAGATGATGTTTGTTTGTGAGCCAATCTGATGTATACGATTTCAGGACAAGATCAGGCTTCTCCAAGAAGACCTTGAATCCGAGCGTGAGCTTAGAAATCGAGTAAGTTCGTTGATCACTCTGTTTTTTTTAATTATACTTTTCGTTTTATAACAACTTACACTAGGCCACCTCGATACAGTAGGAAGCCTTGGTGCAAGTTGTTTTGCTTACTATATGTTACAGTACCTCTTGTTATAATTAGGCCTTCCAATATGCCCTTGATTTTTCCTTACATTTTTTGACAACACCAAAAGACAGAACTTTTTTCTCCTCTAAGTGATCTAAGTCTTCTTCTCTATCTCGGATTAAAGCATCTTTTGTAACAAAATCGCATTTGCTCACATCTGGCGAGCGATTCACACTACGTCCCACCAATCCAAAAAGTGCTCCGCGTCACAGGTGATGCAAAGCGAAAAGTCGTCAACTGCGTCACATTTCTGGCAATTTATGGCTTTACTACCAGATTTCATCCTATTTCATCTACACTGTAGATCTAATGTGATCTACACAGCTGGTACTATTTCATCTACAACTATTTCCAGATCGAACGCGAACGTGCTGATCTCAGCGTACAACTGATCGCACTGACCGATCGTCTTGAAGATGCTGAGGGAACGACCGACAGCCAAGTACTGTAATTCTATTAATTACCAAAAGTCATTATTTTTTGTGATAAGGTTAGATTCGAGGTGTAGCAACCGATTAACGCTTGATTGCAAAAGAAGTTCACATTAGACAGACTGTGTGCATTACCATGGGGAAAAAACTATAGTGGGCGTGGTTTGTGCACTTTTACAACAAAGCCGGAACAATATACTGTTACAAAACACAGTCAAAACACATCACATTGATATTTTCTATGGTATTTTCAGAAAAGCTGGGTACAAAAAGAAAAAAAAACAGATAAATTCTAAAATGCTTCACTGATGAAAGACAAGATCTCTTGCTTTTTCTACGCTTTTCCATACAACTACTGGAATGAATTCTGATGTTTACTTTCTTACAAAACAGTTCTAGCATAAGGAAAACCGGTCCCTAAACGCCCACCTGTTGCGCTTTTCAGAAACTAATTTGTGCACGTTTCTTTCAGAACTTTTCCCTCACTTTGCTGTTTGCCAAACTTTTGTTTTACTGTTCTAAGAACTTGTTCAGGAATTTGGACTTTTTCTTCCAGCGCACTTCAAACACACTAGTTACCTCAATGAGAGAGTAAGCAACAAAGTTCTCAGCGAGTAAAGACAATCGTCTCTGATTTTTGGCTTTTTATGCGAAAACAAACATAAAGGAGATAGGACACCCACACTTCCCAGGCAGAGCTGATGCACTCCCGACTCTAGAAAAAAAGCATCAGTGTAACTCATAGCAACACTAAAATAACCTAGGGTAATAGTAATACTATGGGCCCAATCGATAAATCGATTTTCTCAGATCGAATCAAACCGTAAACGCGAAGGTGAACTGATCAAACTGCGCAAGCTGCTGGAAGAATCACAACTCGAATCCGAAGATGCTATGAATGTGTTGCGTAAGAAACATCAGGATGCATGCCTTGACTACCAAGATCAGATCGAACAACTGCAGAAGAAGAACGCCAAGTAGGTGTTTTGTCCCATTTGTCCCAAAGGCACCGCCATACTTGGTCCACTTGATCCACTTGATCCACTTCGCTAGTTAATAACAGCAAACTGACTAATAGCGAATCGGATGTCCTCTTGTTCCACTTGTCCCCTTCATCCATTCACTACTGGTCGGTTCATTGAATTGACCAATAGCAAAGTGGATTAAGCGGAAGTGGATCAAGTGGGCCAACTACGGCGCATGTCAAAAATGTCAAATCATTTCTCACTATTTCCTCTTTCTGTTCACTTTTTACCCCTCCAGTCAATACGGGCAAGATCAAGCCACTCAGCTATCGGTATCTTGATGTCTTTTGCCGAGAGTGTGCGCGCTCTCACTCTTCGCTTCTTTACACAATCCTTCTGTCGTTGTGATAAGTTGGATGAGATAGTGTGCAATGTGTGTAGACGCACACGCAACGTTCTAACGCACAATCCAAACGGTTGTCAGAGCGCGATTAAGCGAGCTGGTTGGCAGAAAGCTCTCGGAGATGGCTTTGCGAGGGTGTAATGATGGGTCATAGATTTGTTCGGATAACGAGATGTTTCATCCTGAAATGCGCAAGAGTCACGGAATTCGCACAGTTAGCACTCCCTGAATACCTTAGGGAATTTTTTGGAAAACGGCCGAACGCCAACACATCATTTTTTGGCTTGAGGAGCAGATGCATTTACACAATGGCACTAACTTTAGCTCAGTGTATTGGGGAATCACAAACAAGAATAGCTATATTGAAATGTATCTTTGTGAGACTCAGTCATCGCTCATACTAGCTCCTTGACTCCACTCACCAAGAACATCATCCCCGTGCAAGTCGTTTGTTTCCCAGTAATACTCTGCACTCCATATGCGCAGTCGAATGACCTTTTTAGTGTCCTCATAACAAGCATAATTTATCTGCTTTTGAGCTCATTGTACTAGCCATGTATTGATGAATGCATGAGACACAAGTGACACTCCAGATTAATCTCAAAAGTTCAAACACTTCCGAGAATGTTAATAGCTGTAATCTGCTCAAACATGAGCGCCTTATAGAGAGGATTTAACAGAATTATCTGGTATGTACTGAAAATTTCTCACAGTACTTCCTCAATGCTAAATTGGCTATGGGTGAGCTCACCAGTCAAAATAACTAAATTTTGGTTTCTCTAAAAAATAACTTTGGCTTTTACTATAATCCCCCTATGAAGGTATCCAATCTTTAGCACATTTCCAACTAAACTGCATCTTTCTCTGTTTCGTTTTCAAGAAATCTCTTTGTTTATGATGGGTAGATAAAACAGAGAACAAAAACATCTGCTCAATCGCCTCTTTTTCAAAGCTTTGCGACATCTTCGATCCCTTTACACCCCCAACTCATTTTTGGAAGCGCATCTCAAGAGATAGAAAACAAATAGGGCCTCGAACCAATTTAGGATAACTCTCTTTCAAGAGAATTATCCTTATTATCTACCTCCAGACGTACACTCAGCTCAAACTTTGGCTTTTTGTCAAATAAAATTACATCCATAAGCTTCAAAATGATAAGATATCTCTTACTAGGTCACAGTCCTAAATCTCCCTTCTCAATATCATCGGTTCAGGATCGACCGCGAACGTCAACGCCTTCAACATGAGGTGATCGAACTTACAGCCACCATCGACCAGGTGCAAAAGGACAAGGTACTTCACATCTAAATTCTTTCCTCATTCGTCTGCTTTTCTTTTGCTCCACTTACGTTTCACTCTCTGTAAATAGATCTCGTCTCTTGCTATTCTTTTTACATCTCTCTTCTTCATTATTGTGCAAGCAACTCTTTGCTCTTACTTTTAACTGTGAGCCGAGGGCAACACTAGCTGTGAGTTATTGAGCCCAAAGGATTACCCATCACCCTACGGATAACAAGCGCCTCAGACAGAGGGCTTAATAATGGCAAGTTATTTGTCCAGCACAGCCATGGGTGAAAGAGGAGGGAGAAAAGAAAGTTCTAGGGCAGGCAGAAAAAACAGCAAATTGTTTCTAGGGGGTAATTTGATTTCAACTTGTTTTCACGTTGCAAGCAGCGCAAAACACAAATTCTACCACTACCCTCTAATTACGGCTCAACCCACAAAATTCTATTTTCCTACGTGCAATTTGCACTGCCCTGTTACAATGATCTAAAACAGTTTGGTAAATGTAATTTTGAAACAGTTTACTCAGTAATAAGGCCCAGACGCCCCCGGCTGCTAACGAGAAACAAAACCGTAAATTCAATTTTCTGGACCTAATACATAACAGAATCAAATCAAAGTTCTAAAAACAAGCTGACAATAGCAAAGAGAAAATTCGCCTTTTCTACATTCAATTATTGATAAGAAGAATGTGCTGCAGCTTTCGTTTGGTTTTTTGCACTCGCTTGCCACTTGAACACCGCAAACATTGTGGTACGGACCCGGTAGGCGAAAGCCTAGCTCAAGAAAAAAGCATACACTGAACAAGGGTAGCAGTTGACAAGATTTTTTACGCATACTGAGTAATGTGCTCCATGAATCACGCAGCAGTGACGTGGGTCAGAAAATCTTGATTGGCAAAATTTGCACCTCGCACGGACAAAACGCTTAGCAAGAGTAGCCCCGGTCCTAGAATTCCACGATAAAGAAGCGTGAGTTAGAGATAATCAGTAGCGATGTTTTGGGGTTTATTCATTTATTTAGAGTTCAGCAGAGAATGTGATGAAAATTGCGCAATCCTATAGCTTACCCTTGGGAATTAACTACTGCTATAGCTCTTGCTAGTGTCCGTTTCTTGTTAAAAAGTTATATCCAAAAACAGCCAAGGTAAAAACCTTCCAAGTATTAGAGTAGATATCTTTGCTAAACTTTGGTGCGCCGTTGAGTCTGCAAAAATGCTTCAATTTGATCTCTTACTCTTCACAAATTAGATTTTTCGCTCGGGTTAAGTGAGTTACCCTAGATACAACAGCTGCCATCGAGCACCCACTTTATGACACACCTAGGGCCTTAAATGCGACAGCGAACAAAATGCGCTCAATCTCTAGTATATCGCGCTCCGAAGCACATTTTGACATTTACGCGACGTCTTTAAAGCACATCTTTGAGGCAGCGTCGAGAAGTTATGTGCTCAACTCAAGCTTGTTGCATAAGAATTTCGTTTAGATTCTTTCCTATTTTTACAAAATCACTGCTCCTCTAGCACATTTACGATACTAATTCAAACCAGCTTAGTGCAGTTAAGCGCAAAGCAGATGTAAGCGCAGATCTTACGAGAATTTTGGAATTTATTGTCCTAACCATGGAAACGCATTGAGACAGCTAAGCGGAGGCTATCTTTGATTGCTTATTTTCGTCCAAAAATCAAAGTACATAGAGTGTAAAGTTTGAGCCCACTCTCATTTTTACCGCTAGGAATGCATTCGAAGAAACAAAGTACACAAGTATGCGCCAATAGGCCTTACATCAGTTTCTTTTCCGCATTTTCTTGGAGATGACAAGTTTACACTATGCAAACATCTCCACCTAGCTGAAGTGGTGGAATTGGCAGTAAGATCTTGTTGATGGGTAACAGGCAGCTGTCACAGGAGCACAATTGATTTACTGGATCATTGTGGGTGTAAACTTCGCAATCACCGTAATGCTTGCTAGCTTTTGCAAATGAAACTTTCATATGGTTCGAGGAAACGAAAAACGGATGCACTAAGCTGACACATTACTTTTCGACCAATGCTTTATGACTGTGATTATAAAGTGTAACGCAATTGATCTTCAAAGTGCATCGGCTCCCTTCAAATCCTGGCTCTGTTTTGGCATTCCCAAAAGTTCAAACTAATAAAGAAACGTTAGCCGCTTCCCCGCTTGCCCAAGTTAGTAACGAATTCGTAATGGTGCTTTTTTACAAGTCTAGGGATGAAGGCAGTCGCAGTGCAGATAAGTCAAAGCTATCGTTATAGAACAAAGGGGCACGATTATGCACTCATAAGTCGAAAAGCCAAAGAAGGAAAAAGAAAGGAAGAGAAAGAAAATGCAGTAAAGAAACTCACTTCATTTTCCTTTGGACTGTACATGAACGCAAGCGAACATGACTGAATTGATTGGTTTAGACTACAAGTTCAATCTAGACGCTGAATTCTTGCCAGTTTCCATATTTTTGTAAATTTCTGTAACAAGAAAGAAGTCATATACAGTAGTTTCGACCCGCTTTAGGCGGAAATTGGACTGGCGGGAATCCGCCTCGCAACAGCTCGCGCCGTTTCGCAGCTACAGTATACCCTATCGTGCTGAGAACCCATGTCTGCGGCTCTTCAATCTCCTTAGTCTTTGCTTGGCAAAATGCCAGCGCTATGCGCTCGCGAAGCCTCCAGCGATGCGCATGCGCTGCTCCACGTAGAATGTCTCGCCTAATCCGGGATGGAACCGACTGTAACTACGAGACTATGCAATAATCGCGTATGCTGAAGTTGCGAATTTGAGAGAAGTTCCAATCTCTTTTGAAATTCCAAAAGGGTTTCCATCTGTGATATCTCTAGCAAAGTATTAAGTTGTCAAAATGCGTGTAGTCACTTTTCTCAAAAGGCGTTTGTCCGTATAAGGAAAGGGGCGACAAAGCGAAGCCGAGCGGTTAATGGCACGCGTTCGCATCCGCTTCGCCTGTACGGTCCGCCATCATCGGCAGTAGAGCTCATTTTCATCTGTAGGGGAATCCATATAATTAACGAACTATAGAATAACTGGATGCAATTCTATCTCCCTAAATCGCCTAAACCACTCTCAAATTGTGCTCGTTCAAACATTTTCATTTGGCAACTTTGTTTTCAACCCTTTCACGTAAAAATGCCACTGGATAGTTTTGGAGCGCTTGGACTTTCAAACGGAAGCACCTAGACAGATACCGAAACTGGAAAAGACGCGGAAATGGACGTGCATGGTCTTTTGCCTGCTTTGAGCACGTTCCACACGCGCAACGCACGCTATTTTGTAATGTGAACTGCTGAAACGAAGTTTTTCTCGTGGGGTTGCAAAAAAAATTTTCCGCAAGTGCATGTATGGATCTATGTGTCTGTGTTTTCGGGAAGCTCAAAGTTCCTAGTATATACGCACACTCGTTGCCGTTGTTGCTTCGCTGATGACGGCGGCGGTGCACGTCAGATATGGTGTCGGTGTAAAGCGCAGGCGGCAGTTTTACACTATACGGACAGCTTCGCTGAGCTCTGAAAAACAGCCCACACACACATTATTTCACGCTTCTTTCTTAGTGGACTCTATGACCAAAGAAAGGTAGTCGGGAAAGAACGAAAAAGAAATGAAGATAAGGAATGATGAGTGATAATATTTCTTGCGCATAAAATCAATTGGGGCTAAAAAGCAGTTCGAGAGTTTGGAGAAAAGTTTGAGCTTTCCTTCCCCTCTTTCTCTTTCTCGCGCCAAGATACGCTTTAGTTTCATTTGGGGACTTTCTGCAATTACACTACTCAAGGCTCACAATGCGGAGGAACGCTCAACTTGATCGTTTATGATTTTCTTCTTTGACGCTTCAAATTCCTTATCGTCGAGTCATTTGTAACTTAAGAGTGAGCCTGCACACTATGCGCGGCAACTGACGACGACACCTTTACTTATAAGTCTTCGGTGAAACCCTTTTAGCCTGACAAGTTGTGGAAGTGCATACAGGAGACTGGTGCATATCCACAAACGAAAAGAGACAAATTAGTAAAAATTACTGAAAATGAACAGGCCCCAATTTTACATGTCGTCAAGTAGCCCGCCTGGTGTGCAATATGCGCAAGTTTGACTCGAGGATATATCCTAGTTTCTATAGCTTTCATCATGTTCTTCCTCCTCTATCTCTATCCTCTTCAATACCAGCAATTTTGGAATTTTATCAGCTGCATAAATATATTTTCAGCACGCCGCCGAGAAGGCTGCCGAACGATTCGAAGCTCAGACCATCGAACTAGGCAACAAGGTAAGATAACTTCTATTTGTTTGTTATACCAGCCTTGGTATCGAAATTCACATAAATTTGAAAAATTGCATTTTTCAGGTTGAAGACCTGAGCAGAAATGTGAATGATCTCGCCCAACAGCGCCAACGCCTTCAGGCTGAGAACAATGACCTTCTCAAGGTTTGTTTGTTATTTTTTATAAGGTAGCCGTCTGTTATTCGTAGCCGTCTGACTGCCGTGAGTCAGTAGGCTATCACCGTCTGGTATTTTTTCCGGTCCATAATTGTAGCGGAAGCATAAACGACGTCTCGTCGTCATAGCCCATCCAATTTCCGTTCTGATTCATTGCTATGTTATTTAGCCAGTCTAAATTAAGAGTTTACATTTCTCGATGAGGTGTATGGCTATCATCCCCAATATGCCTAAAAATTATGGAAAAAGGAGTGATAGAGCATGTAGTACGACTATTGCGTATGTACTACTATCGAATTAGTAGAACGCAGATGTCTGGTTAGTAACCTAGAACGACGTTACAAATATACTTGCCGGCACAGAGCGCGAGTCACTTAGTGCAATTGCACTACAATTTTGAATGCGTTTTTTTTTCGTTCAGAGAGCCAGACCATACCAGGTAAATCGAAACGATGAGAATTCATAACTGTACTAGGTGTAAGTGCAAGCAGTCAAGAATTTAGATTGTAATGCACTCGCACCACCTGTCTAGAGTTCTTACTTCGGGTGTGAAAATAGATGCTGTAATTGTATTGAAGAAAAAAGTAATTTATGGTTAATGGCAATGAAAATAACACAACTTGAATGCACACAGCGAGCAAATTTTTCGTAAGACTCTAAAGCGCGCTGCCGCGATTTTTCTTTTGTCTGCGTTGTTGGATTATAGCACATTTGCTGACATCTGCATTTACATCGCAAGATGAACTTCCCTCAAGAATTTTCGGGAAGACTTTTGCTTTCTCAGAAAAGAGAAACCTAATGGACGCATTATACAGAGCTTGATTTTTTGAGATGCTGTAACTGCTGGTTCGATGAAAATCATTGTTAAAAAATTTTGAGGGTCACGCGTAGAAATTTTCGTATTTGATCTTTCTCTGCTTCCTACTTATGTCCCCACTGCACTCTCAGAAACTCATCAAATAAATATTGCGTGTTGAGCAAATATATGTTAGATCTCGACACCACCACTTCACACAAATAAATCTCCAAAGCATCACGTTGCGCACTTACAGCTGTTTTTCGTCTGGATTCCGGGTTACTGTTTATTTACCAAAGTGGCAAAAAGTCAAAAAATTTGCTCGCGTTGCCGGGCAGCGCCGTTGCGACGCTATTCGTGTGGTGAAGAGCACTGAACACACCAAAGCAAACAAAAGCTCCACTCGAAGCTTCGCAGATCCGTGCTGATCCATAGTTCCGATGCGTATCGATTGACAAGGGATTGAGTTTTTTGCGATTTCAGGAAATCCACGACCAGAAAGTGCAACTCGACAACTTGCAACATGTCAAGTACACTCTCGCTCAGCAACTCGAAGAGGCTAGACGCCGTTTGGAGGATGCCGAGAGGGTAAGCTAGGTGTAATGTGTGTGGTTACAGACATATGGAGGCGTTTTAGGAAAATAGCTTGACTAGTCAAATTTTCTTGTTCAAATATTTGATTGCTGGGAGACGAGGTGTTGTACAATAAGCGAATAATTTTTATGGTGAGACGGGGTTATTTACTTATTAGGGGAAAAAACTTAGAAAAGGCTCCTAATAATTGGTGCTCTATAACAGATGGACTAAACATTTGTTCTATAGACATCACCACTTTAGCACTCGCGTACTTCCTTTTTCAGAAGAGTTTTGTATGTTTGGAGTTCACTTAACCAAGTCTCATGCCCTACTGTGTTACCTGACATACACTAATAGTTAGTACATGGGCAAGTGATTCAGTAAAAACTTTTTTTATAAACTGCAACGTATCCGAACTATTTACGTCAAGTCACAAGCTTGTGAATTTGATATCGCGCTAATCATAGCAGCAAGTGTCCTTTTTCAGGCTGTTGCTTGTTTGACCGTATATCTAATTAGCGCGGAAATCTAGTTTTGAGAATATGCAATGCTGAATTATAAAGCCAAGGGAGTGATAAAATGTTCTGATCCTTTAATAAAATTAACGCGAAGATCTGCTTTTTTGCTAGCTGACAAAAAAAATGGGAACCGAAAATATTAGGGTTGATGTACTCTAGCTGTATAAGAGTTCCAGAAGAAGTTAGGGAACTTCATGTTTTAACGGAAAATTATATACTTGTAAACCTTATGCACCATCATGAAAGATCCAAGTTTTCTTACTACGAATGGTAGATTCAAGGTTACGAACGAAAGATACGACCAAAAAATTTGATTCGTGGAAATACTTAAATATTTTGCATTGAATAAATAGCTTGACGTTTGTGGAGTTGGGAGGTTTCTTTTTTTGCGCCATGTTGTGTAGTGTTTTTCCTCTTCCTAGTTCGTAGACCGAATCTTCAATGAATGTCTAATTTATTTCTCCGAAATATCTCCATCTCCGTCATAGCATTGGATCATAGGCTTTGCTGAGAAAAACATGTTTTGAGCTTTGAGCTTTTCACAAGATGGTGCTGACGTTATTATTGTATGGCTGTCTATCTTGACGTCGTAGTGCATTTGAGCTAATCTTAGGCTTTGCTGATGTATGACATATTGGTAGAATGATGAAGTAGTGGTGTCTTTAAAGACACTGCTAAACATGGTAGTTCTAAGGGAAAAAAGAGGGGGAAGAGGCCGGAGCAAAATACTGGTTTTTCGTCAAGAAATTCTATACATTAGGAACTTAGCAAGTAAAACAGAGTCATCGCACGCAGAGACAGGGCGCCGTTGCGTAAGCTACAGTGTCTCTTCGATTAAGCGCAACATCAGGTCTTTTGTCGTCTTATCCTGCCGCAACGGCGTGCGGTCTCTGCGTGAGATGAATCGTCTGTAGATATAATGCACAATTTTTTGTGGTTACCTGGTTACTGACTTGTCTTATATGCTAGTAATTGAAACTGAAACTTTAATGCAACTGAAGAAAGGGGGGAGGGCATCGTTGAACTGTATTGGTTTCGGGGTCGCCTATATCTATTTTTCGCATGAAGAAGCTCCACTTAATTCCTGAGCTGGAAGTTATATCAAAAATATGGGGAAAAGTGCATAATATCTAAACGCGGTACAGAAGAACGTGAGAGCACCAATAATTTCGTGGGGAAAGTGCTATATGTCCGTAGCGGAAATTCCCACAAAAGTGTAAGAATATATTGTTTTCTGACTTCAGGAACGCTCCCAGCTCCAATCTCAGCTCAACCAAGTACAGCTCGAGCTCGACTCTGTCCGTACTGCTCTCGACGAGGAGTCGATTGCTCGTTCGGATGCCGAGCATAAGCTGAACCTTGCTAACACTGAGATTACCCAGTGGAAGAGCAAGTTCGATGCTGAAGTCGCTCTGCACCAAGAGGAAGTTGAAGATCTGCGCAAGAAGATGCTACAGAAGCAAGCTGAGTACGAGGAACAGATCGAGATTATGCTCCAAAAGATCAGTCAGCTTGAGAAGGCCAAGAGCAGACTTCAGTCCGAGGTTGAGGTGTTGATTGTCGACTTGGAGAAGGCACAGAACACCATTGCCATTCTCGAGAGAGCTAAAGAACAGCTTGAGAAGCAGTGCGCAGAGTTGAAGGTACGTATCGATGAGTTGAATGTGGAATTGGAAGCAGCCCAACGTGAGCTTCGTGCTGCCAATGCTGAACTGCAAAAGATGAAGCATTTGTACGAGAAGGCCGTTGAGCAGAAGGAAGCACTTGCCAGAGAGAACAAAAAGCTCCACGGTCAGTTCTTTACCTGCGGATTACGGTCATTAAAAAGAGTGTAATACTATCCGAAAACATTACAGATGAGCTTCATGAGGCTAAGGAGGCTCTTGCTGATGCCAACCGCAAACTGCACGAGCTTGACCTGGAAAATGCCCGCCTTGCTGGTGAGATTCGTGAGCTGCAAACTGCCCTCAAGGTGCTGTTAATTGCCCTACGAAAATGCCATAGTACTACGACGACGCCCATATTCTTTTTTTCGAGTTTAGGAAGCCGATGCTCAACGTCGCGATGCCGAAAATCGTGCACAGCGTGCACTTGCTGAGCTCCAAGCTCTTCGTATCGAAATGGAACGCAGACTTCAAGAGAAGGTATGCAACCATATTAGACTAAATATCATTGCCGCTTCATGATTTACTTTTTAGGAGGAAGAGATGGAAGCCCTGCGCAAGAACATGCAATTCGAGATTGACCGATTGACCGCTGCTCTGGCTGACGCTGAGGCTCGCATGAAGGTAAGGGGTCCACTATAAGGAATTTTTTCAAGCTTCCCCTTGCTGGAAAAATCGTTTACAATTTAGGCAGAGATCTCCCGTCTGAAGAAGAAATACCAGGCTGAGATTGCTGAATTGGAAATGACCGTTGACAACCTGAACCGTGCCAATATTGAAGCCCAGAAGACCATCAAGAAACAATCCGAGCAGCTCAAGATCCTACAAGCATCTCTCGAAGACACTCAACGTCAACTCCAGCAAGTCCTTGACCAATACGCTCTTGCTCAACGTAAGGTGAGTATGCGCGAGTCATTTGTAACTAAATATGTGAGGATGCACACTGCGCGCGGAAATCGACGGCATCTTTCTTATTAGTAGCTTGTCAGCAAAAGCTTTCCTAGCGGAACAAGTTGTGGGGATATGTACTACCACCTGATACATATTCCAAATCAAAGAGAGAAGGAAACGAAGAGGAATGCATTGAATTGACAGGTTTCAATCCTGCAAGTCGTGAAGTAGCGCGCACGTGTGCGATGCGCACACTAAGTCACGAACTCGACGACATTTTTTCGGATAATCAGTTTGTTTGACTAGGAAGCAGTACTAGTACTTGACACTATGACTAATGCAGATTCTTTCGCTACACCAACATTTTGTGTAACATCAACGCGCTTGTTTTTGTGCCTCATAGTTTACGTACGAATGTGGGCGGCTCATGCGCCAACTGACGTATGTTCTCGCTTTCCTAGAACATCAACACAATACAATTAACGATGATCAGTCAATTAAAACATCCGTTCTTTAGGTTGCTGCACTTTCGGCCGAACTCGAAGAAGCCAAGACTGCCCTCGACAACGCCATCCGTGCTCGCAAGCAGGCCGAAATTGACCTTGAGGAAGCCAACGGACGCATTGCCGACCTTACCGCCATCAACAACAACCTTACCTCGATCAAGAACAAACTCGAAACCGAGCTTTCTACTGTTCAAGCTGATCTCGATGAGGTTTGCATAGGCGATTTATCGCATGCAGAGACAGGGAGCCATTGCGGACGCTGTTGGCATTCCTCTAGCCGTCTGCTTCTCTTTCAAATGCATACCATTTCGATTCGACGAAATGGCGTCCAATCTCTGCGTGCTTATAACGAAATTTAGGTGGCAGTGGATGGAACCAAAAATGGTTTCGATTTCTAGGTTACCAAGGAATTGCACGCTGCTGATGAGCGCGCCAACCGTGCTCTTGCCGATGCTGCCCGCGCTGTTGAACAGCTCCATGAAGAACAGGAACACTCAATGAAGATTGATGCTCTTCGCAGGTCTCTCGAGGAACAGGCAAGCAAATTTACTGCAAAAAAATTCCCGATGGGGTGAACAACCACGCCTTTCAGGTCAAACAGCTCCAAGTACAGATCCAGGAAGCCGAAGCCGCTGCACTTCTCGGAGGAAAACGAGTTATTGCCAAGCTTGAGACCCGCATCCGAGATCTTGAAACTGCTCTCGATGAGGAGACCCGTAGGTAAGGCATTTAGGCATAGAGGCATTCATGTTTAGCGATAGCCTGTGGACCAGTTCTCGCGAGGGGCACAATTGTGATTCCGCGTTTTTAGACACAAAGAGACGCAGAATGCCCTGCGCAAGAAGGATCGCCGTATCAAGGAGATCCAACAGCTCGTTGATGAAGAACACAAGAACTTTGTCATGGCTCAGGATACCGCCGATCGTCTCCAAGAAAAGTTGAACATCCAGAAGAGACAACTTGCCGAAGCCGTTCGTTTTTATACTTCGAGCATTCTGATGAGCTGATAACCCATAAAATCTAGGAATCGGTTACGATGGCCAACCTCCAGCGAGTAAGACGATACCAACACGAGTTGGAAGATGCGGAAGGTCGTGCCGACCAGGCCGAATCTAGCTTGCACCTGATCCGCGCCAAGCACCGCTCATCCGTTGTTACCGGAAAGCCCGGAGCTAGCAAGGTCAGCTAAAAGTTCTACTATAATTTAGCTACTTTCCCATGAGTGTCAACTTATGGTAGCGTTCTTCTAGGAAGTAAGCACTTACGCCTTCACTTGACAGTATTGCTGTTCCTGGAGGTGGACAGAGTGACCGAGTGTCGCTCTTTCCAAAACAGGCTTCACTACTTCTATCTAAAATCCTTTATTAGACCAGATGTCCATGTTGAGAACGAATATTTCAGGTCTACGTGATGGAGGATGAATACTAAATGCTCTCGACCAACCGCTGCCCAATACACCCCTCTCCAGCCTGTGTTGGCTTCGCTCAACTAGTGAGCCGATGCCTGCCGCTCTGCTCTGTATATTGTTGGATGTTGTAGTGCTATAGTATGCGCGTGGCCACCCGCATCTGTCTCTTCCGTTTTCGTCGTCCCTTCCTCTCTGTGTTCATGCAAAAAATAAGAGAACTTTCTCTTCCATTTATTAGCCATACTTTCTCGCTCGCGATCGACCCCCACCCGCTGTTATCGAGTGGCGCCATGGTGGCGCCAATGTGGCGTCTTCAGACACCTGCGTTTTTCTTCCAAATCATTTCGTCTCTGCCTGTCTTTTTCGTTTACGTATCGGTCGGGAGTGGTGTGCGAAAGCGCTTTCCACGAAATCCTTTTGCTTCAACACTCATCCCGTCATCAGCCACACATATGCTCCCCTGCTCCCCCAGATATGCTATGTATTTCGCGTAAACAGGATTATGGAAAGGATTCTTATTGAAAGTGCCTTTGACAACCCGTTTAGCTACAATTCTTTCTCTCTCACTCTCTGCCTTATGAAGTGTTGAACGAGTAAATGAAAATCATGTGAATTGTCGTGTGTATCACAATGTCTACGCTAGATATTGGTTACAAGATGTGCATGCTACAGTATGGTATATATGTACTGTGGCAGAATTACACTGCTTACGCCCATTCCGAAAAAGCCGGAAGATTTTTGAGTTGCGTGCGTGTAAAATGCTAAATTGCGGTAAGGACAGCTAGGCGATTTTTTTCGACAGACGTTGCCACTGGGAGCCGTGACAAAGCAAATACGCTGTATTGAAAGCAAAACTCCACAGTAAAGATAGTTCATCGTACGCAGAGACCGGAAGAGATTGCGTCCGATCAAGATGGTGCGTGTTAAAAAGAGACAGCAGGCGGTTAGAGTAATGAAAGTGCACTAGAGCTGAGAGACGCCGACAGCCTTCGTAATGGCGTTCTGCCTCTGTGTCCGTGAATCGCTTATACGTGAAATGAACAGCGAATTCAAAGTGCTTGAGTTTCTGAGAATTTGAACTGAATTCAGAACCTTCAGCTACTGTTTCGGATTAACAGTACCAAAAGACTTGCTCACTTCGATAGAGAGCGCTAAAATATCGGTACGCATTTTATAGCTTACCAATGCACTGCTTGGAAAAGTTTGAAAAAGTCATTCGGTGATATGCTTTTTGTACAAACATTGCATATCACAAAGATAAACAGTTGACCTAGATCAAGATACCATTAGAAAGAATAGTGACACTCATTCCTTACTCGAATAATTTACTAACCAGGTTCACTCAAATTGGTCATGAAACACTTAGCTGTATATCCAGATCTATCCACTCGGCAGTGAGTCAATACGTGAGGAGACACTGATAAGCTTCTCCTGTCCATCCAACAATCTCCATAAAAATGGCTTTAAAGGTCAGAAAGCTTCAGGGCATCTCCTGTCGAGAGAAAGATACACGAACGGCGACTGTTAGCCAAAATTAAAGAAGTCAAAGAGCAAAAGCAACAATTAGGAGTGAGCTTCTTGTTGTGATTCAATGCTGGTTTATCGAACTTCATTTTGAGGATAATTTCAAATGTTTATTGATAGCCACCGCTGAAAAAGAAGTAACGCTTAAAAAATTACGTCAAGAAACGAAAAAAGTGTGTAACCTTTCCTTCACTCGGATGGAGCAATCAGCATTTGATGGCAATTTCAGGCACAGCTCGAACTCGAGCAGCTTCTTTCTTGTATTGAAAAAGTTATTAGTTTGGATTCTTGTGATGAAAAAATCAGAGCAAAGGTGATGCATTAAGCCCTTTCACTTTTATTAGGAAATAAATTTTACTATTTAGATAATAAGTGCTCAAACTTATATTGATAAAAATAAAGAAAGACTGGATGCAAAGAATCCAGTAGATCTTCCACTTGGTAATCTTCATGGGCCACCTGCAAAACGGAATCTTTTTAATTATTTGGAAAAAGTTATACCAGGATACAAGCCACAAAGTTGGATTTTTGCCTTACTCAATAAAAATTAGATCCTGCTCATCGCAAACATGTCTCCTACTGCATGACGCAAATATATGAAACTGTGGTGTTTTTGATGATATCTACCTGGAACTACCCTTTGATTCAACTGCATTGGCGGCTGGAAGGCCCGGTTACTTGACCTAGTTAAGGCTGAAAATGATCAGAGAGCTTGCGCGCAAGAGAGACGAAGAGTGCATCGCGGGCGCGGGCGGCCTTAAAGGCAGCGGACAGGCAAAATGGACCCCTGTCAGATTTTGGTAGTTGCGGGTAGTGGACCCCCCAAGTACACCGTAGCCCCAACCCCACATTCCAATTCATGCGCTAAGTCCTGAAAAAAGCGCTTCAAAACTCCACCAGCCACGCCCACTTCCATTGAGTGGGCGTTATTGGTGGAATTTTGAAGCGCTTTTTTCAGGACTTAGCGCATCAACTGGAAGTTGGGGTTGGGGCTACGGTGTAATTGGGGGGTCCACTACCCGAAACTACCAAAATCTGACAGGGGTCCATTTTGCCTGTCCGCTGCCTTTAATTAGGTCACAAGACACGCCTTCTAGCCGCCATTCCAGTTCCAATCCAGTCAATTGATGGTTAACTAGTTTCCCTTCCCAGCAGGGAAGGGAAACTAGTTAACCATCAAAATTGAAAAAATTGCCATCAAAATTTTGTCCTCGATAATATCTAGTTGAAACTAGTGGTTTCCCGTTACAGCTCGGATCATTATGTATTTACTGATGTAGCTGCTGTTTCGGTTGCCAGCGTAGTTACTACAAAGCGAGACCCTCTTCCTCGATGTTATGGAGAATTACCTCGGGAAAACTTCGATTCACCGCATCCTCGTATCCTAAGAATGAAATGAGCTTTGCTACCCCTTAGACATCAAGTGAGATTGTAGCCAAACCGGGTTTGAAAGTCAAAACATTAACATTTTCAAGCAAAATTATAAAAATATAAGCAATTTGAAATTGAATCTAGTAACATCTTGATTCATAATATCATTACTATGATTACCAAAAACTTATTTGCAAGTTTACTGAGAAGTACGTCGGAAATTTGCAGCCTATGTTCACTTCTGGGAAACGACGAGAAAATCTGGTGAGAAATTTGCGTGCAAAGCCTTTGTGCGTATATGTCAATGAAGCTACTCAAGTATTTGCTGAAATAATAAGTGGAATAGTGAATGAACTTTGATGATCGGTGCATAGTTGAGTTGTCTTTTCAACAAGGGTAAATGCTCTGAACAGATGGCGGAATCTATAAAGAGCCATTGGTGGATTCCATAAAGTGTTTCAAAGGGATGGCTGATGGTGAGGCTGCTTTACTGTTGCCACGCGGGTCTGTATGGTACCTCAGACTTGAATAATGAAGCTTTATTGTGATACAAATACAAACAATAAAGATGTAGATGTGCGAAGTGTCTCCAGAAACGTGTCAATCTTCGGACTGCTTCCCAGGATACTTGTGATTCCTCAGAGACTTCTTGTGCACAGGAGACTTGATGCTCCTTGTCTAGTGTACTTGTTGGATCTAATGCTACCCGGAGAAGACTTGTGGAGGATGATTGCCTACGAGACTTGTCGTCCTCACAGCAGGCACTTGTGGAGAGAATACTCTTGGTGAGCTGCAGACTTGTCGTCCTCACAGCTAAACACTTGGGACAAGATCCTCGACTTCACTCATCCATCGTTATTTATACCCTTAGACTTGTTTACTTGCAAAGTCATTGTTAACTGAAGATAGTGATAAGGTGATGAGGTGAGGTTGCGATGACTTGTTCGGTTGATCTCTTGGGGCATTCTTCTAACCACTACAGTACAATGCAAAACGAACTAACAACGATGAACAATAGATAATATTACAGTACGTACAATCTACAGTATCCTAAATCTTCTTGTAGTCGATTTTGGCGACATAAAAAGTTATTCTTTCAATTTTTTAATAGTTTCTAAACTCTGACAGGAGATCGTAATGTTTGCGTAGAGAAGCAGATGCCACCAGAGCATTAGATTGAAGACTTAGTGTAATCAGACTCAGTCTTACTGTCAATATGCTACAGCTACGAGGATCCTGGAGTCTTCGGCAATCCGCTTATTTGGACGATGACGTGGAGGATGAAGGAGAGCCAGGAATGCGTCTTTCACGTTAAGCAGATGCCACCAAGAGCATTAGATTGAAGGAATCGCAGTAGTGGCACTTGTTTCTGAAAAAAAAAAGTTTTCCATCAAAGAAGAGTGAGAAACTTAAAAGGGAGGCGTATCTAGTCGAAGTGGCTTTTCTAAATGAGACCCATACCACTCTGAAGAGTATTGTACGGTGGCTCCAAATATGTCTTCATTATCTGCAAGCGCTCTGAACGCCGAGTTATGACCATTTTTGAAACGAGAAATGAATGCAGGATTTAGGTAAAAACAATTGATACTCCATCCCCACTCACAAAGGAGGCTACCTAACTTAGTTCGGCCTTTTGGCAAGGGACATATATATCTGAACAGCTTCAAACGCTGATTCCAAATATGCTATTCCTAGCTTCCATGCACATTCCGAAGCTAGTTGTGGTCTTTTTCTTGCGCAAAATTGGCATGCTCATTGATTCATGGTCATCACGTCATCATCGTCTGAATGCTGATACATCTGCGTTAAGCTTTTTTTAGTGAGAAAAGATTGGATTTGTACTATTTCGATACCTCAGCACCTTTTTCTTGCAGATTTTTATCTACAGGCAGTCTTCACATGTTCAGTAGTATGCCAATTTTGCATAGGAAAAAGCCCATAACTCGCTTCGGAATGGCGTGAGAGCTAGGAATAGCAATTTGTAATCAACGTTTGAAGCTGATTTAGAATGTATATGCTTTTTACAAAGGGCCGAGCTAAGTTAGGTATATAGCTTTCCTTTCCAGATGAAGCAATGTTGAGTATCAGCATATTGGGCGGGATGTATCTATTGCATGAACTGCTCTGATACTCGACATAGGATCATCTTGCAAATTTGGGCGATTTTGCCCCAGTTTCGCGTTCAATATTTTTGACTCGAAAAAAAGCCCATAAGTCGGCGTCCAGAGGCGCTTGGCTAATAGTAAAGGCAGATTTGGAATCACTGTGCAATACTCTCCAAAGCATATGGTCTCATCTAAAGTCACTTCGACTATACACGCTTCCTTGCTATATGATCTTAGGGAGAAAAGTCAGTCATAATCTAGCCTTCGAAAATTATGTGCTCAATAAAATTGAATGATGGAAGTTGTAATGGAACAGATAGTGCATAATAATGGTGATGATTCTACAGGGCCCCAACTTGCCTAAAGATCGAGAACAATGATAGCACTCGATAAAGCTGTTGTCCACTTTGCGATTGTATGCATGACCTGAAGTGACAGACATTACGACTGGTAGAAGAGCATGAAGTTTACAGCATTGCGGAGAAAATGATAGCAAATTCTTCTAATAAGAAATATAGAGGCAGAGAAGGCATGATCACCTAGTTTCCATCCGCTTCCAGAGAACAAACAGCTTGCCAGGAAAGTGGTTTTTCCTACCAGGTAAAGATTGTTAAAGTCGTTAAATTACTTACTTATTTAAACACTTAAATGGCCCGTCCTCACGTTATGCGGGCCTCAATACAAACGTTTCCATTTGCCCTTGTCCCTCGCTTCAGATATCCACGATCTTCTTGGTCGTTGCCGTCGGTGGCTGCGTCCGCGCTCAAGGATTCGCGCGTGTGGGCGGTCCTCCTACAAGCACCAGCGCACAAACGGCCTACATACGAACAATGAAAATTCCTTCTAAGCAGCAGGCAATGTACCGTGCGACCAGCAGTACATTTGCCCAAGCGAGCGGCCAGCAATGTGCTCTGATTGGACGACAAAACCCTGGTCATGCAAGAGGCCAACAGTGACCTTTATCTTAGTTGTCACACGCTGTGAGCCTAAACGGTACCTGCGTGAGATGCGACGCAGCGTTTAGGCTGTCATTGGTCATGATATGTCTGTGTCAGCAGCGCGATCTTCATCAACCAGGAGCTCGAGGAAGGTTTATGAGTTTATGCATGGTCAGAAGTGTAAGTGTAGACTCGCAACCATACCTTCGATACATAGAGCCACGTACTCTGGTGACCTTCACTTTGAGCGTCATGATAGAGCACAACCTTCACTTAGAGGGAAGTCATCCGAGGCGAAGCCCTGGATATCATGGCATAACTAATGACATATCCATATAGGGAAAGATGTGAATGAGGTAAATATGGTAGTGACATCCAAAAGAAGCTCAAAAAACCGAAGGATTACGTTTTTATGGCCCTTTTTTTGCCAAAAAGACTTTTATTCAAAAATTCAATGAGGAACTGGAGCAAAATTTCTCAATTAATCTCTCTCTAGACTTCGAGTGAGCGTTGGAAGTTCATGAAAGCAGCTGAAGTTAAATAGAAATGAGAAACTGCGCTCAAATCTTGCGCAGAGAGTCGCTATCTAAATGCTGGTCTATCTCGTTGTGGAGTGATTTTCAAGATCCGCGACGTTGTCAGTCCTCCTGGGCGTCTCATGAGGATCACAACGATATATAATGTTACAGGGTTTCGCTATGATCCTGCGGAGATCAATGACCAGAGCCAAATGCCCCGCCGGCTCTGGTCTGTCTCCGCTGCTCGTCTGCGTCTCCGCGACTTGCGCACTACCTCGCTACCCCAAAAGCGGGGCGCGGGGCATTTGGCTCTGGTACCCTTTTCTTCGTTGTTGAGAGCCCAATTTCGACGATCTATATATCATATTAAAGCTCTTGATCTCTATTTTCATGCTGACAACGTCGCAAGACTCCTTTTTATGATTTAAACGAGAAATATAGGAAAAACGAAGTTTTCGAAAACCTCTTGTTTTTTCTTCAGTTCAACTCTTTTCACTCGGTTTTTTTGTGTATTCGATAGGTCTTGTTTCTGTCTATGATGTAGCTTATGCCAGTTTTTTTGTGAATATTACCAAAAAGTAGTTTTTCTTCACCTTGTTCTTTTTCAATGCTTTTGCAA